ATAAAGAGCCGAGTTCGGGAGCAAGTGGAAAATTCGAGTCGTCGGCATATTGCGAAATTTTAGATTCAATTCCAAAAGTATCTAAACCTTTTATTTCCATATTGATACGAATTTTAACAGTGAGTATTTCTACCCCTAAAATAAAAAGATATGGAGAAAGGGGACATCCTTGTCGGACCCCACGGGACAGGGAAAAGGACTTAGAAATATAACCACAGTTAATAATTTTACTAGAGAGATCTTTGTAAAGAATTTGTACCCAGCTAATAAATGAATCCCCAAAGCCGAAATACCTCAGTGTTTTAAAGATAAAGTCCAGTTTAGCGGTGTCAAAGGCCTTCTCAAAGTCAGCAATGAAATTAAACCGGGCAAATCATTTTTGTCATAATATTCTATTATCTCTAATAATCTGCGTATGTTGTCACAAATACTACGCCCCTGCAGGAAACCTGTTTGATCATATATATGATATTAACTTTGAAATAATATTTTTCATGCGAAGAGCGAGACATTTGGACAAAACACGCGTATCACAGTTAAGTAAAGTAATGGGACGCCAATTTTGGAGATACGAAGGGTCTTTTTCCTGTCCCGTGGGGTCTTGCTTAAGTATTAATGTAATAAGACCTACTTTTTGTGTACCAGATAGCTGGTGTACATCAAACGAAAAGTTAAACAGTCAAGCATATGCTGCTAAAGAAAGTCTTGTAAAATTCTATCGGAAGGCCGTCTAGACCGGGGGCTTTACCACAGGGAAAGGAATTAATTGCCCTTGACCTTTGTCTTCATAAGATTTACCAACATACCAATTATTATCATAATCTATAAAGGCGTTATGATGTTATGCTGACTACAAATGTGCGGAAGCACAAACACACACACACACAGACAGACACACACACACAGACAGACACGACCAAAACAACTACCTCCTATTTTCTATGGAGGTAATGAGACAACTCCCCCCAATACATAAACTCTACATATTTCATGGAGGTATGAGATCTCCGAATTCTTGTTCATGGAGGTAAAAACTCCTTAGAAGAGTGCGGGTTTGCTTCCGTATGGCATTTTCAATCTTCACATACTACAAATACGTTTCAAATTGTCAGTTCTATTGGCCAACGGTTAAAAGACATATATTTTCAAACGTTCCTAAAAGAAATGCACAATGACAACAAAGGTAGGAGCTGCCAAAAATAAAGTTAAGATCGTATAGATTATTTAAAACTACATATAACTAGAGGTCGGAGATCTCATGTCTTCGTCGGAGGTACATCGTTCTAGAGAAATTAACATGCATATTCTTTGCTCTTTTTAATAATCAATTTGGTCTAAAGAACAAAAGAATCTCTATTATTTTTATGGTACAGAACACCCTGAAACGGTTTGCCGCAGATTATACAGATGCGTCGTCACCCGTGTTACGCCCCCCCCCCTACCGTTATTTGAGTTTGGACTGTTACTGGAAAAAAACGTTCAAGAAATTCTTACTGTGTTGAAAGTGTCACGACAGCGCCGCAAAATATAATAAGAGAAGATGTTATAAAGGAAAGAATCAGAACAGGGTGACTACTGCTGTTTTGTTAATTTGTCTTTATGACAAATAGAAGACTTGTTTCTTGTGTTCTTCGTGTCCTAACATTTGTACTTCTACAGTTAGTATATTCCAAATCTAGGCATCTCGTTTTTCGGCCCTTCGTGTTTTTATTGCGCGCTTGCCTTAAATTTAAGGTAATTAGATTTAAGGTCTCCAGTGGACGTCATCCATAGCAATTACTTGGTGTGGCCGTAGAAAATACCCTGACATATGTCCAACCTATCCTCCCCTGCTGAAGTTATAGTACAATCCCTCAATGTAACGTCATTTTATCCCATCCCATTATGGGGTTCCCCGGCTATATCCAGCTGTCGGCTGTCTCCAAGCAGATGTAGGTGGGGGATTTCTAAACACAAAAGGTCCTATTACGGGGACATAACGACCTCCACGACTCTCATCTTTGAACTCAATCTTAGAGACTACCACAGTAACATGCCTATCAAATTTCATTAACTTCCATCCACACATACAAAAGTTATCCTGCTCACAAGAAAAATTAACAAAATGCCCCCTGTAGTCACAACGAAACCCCACACGAAGCTCAGTAACGAACTTAACCTTGGTCCCGACAATAGTAAGCACCACGCCAAGAATTATAGTCAACATTTTACAAATACTTGAGTTATCTTGCTAACAAGCCACAAACACAAAAGGTGCACCTACGTGACGCACAGACCCCCCACGAAGCCGAAACTTGTACTTGACTTCGGCCTCAACAGCGGTAATCTGCCTGCCAAAAATCATGGACGTCGAATCATGCCTTCTAGAGTTATATCGCAAAATCCGCAGTTCCCCACACTCCGGCGAGACAATTTCATAGTCCTTCTGACGAAGACAATGAAGAGAAATACCTAAGTGATGAAAATGTGAAGATCAGAAATGCAGTCACAAGACTAAGGATAAGCTGCCACAAACTACAAATTGAAACTGGAAGACATACCCGCACCCCCTGGAACAAATGTTATGTACATGTTGTAATTACCTCCATGAAAAATGGAGGTATTGTTTTTGGCGTGTCTGTCTGTGTGTCTGTCTGTGTGTCTGTCTGTCTGTCTGTGTTTCCGTAACTTTGTGGTCAGCATAACTTCAGAACGCCTTTACAAATGGTACAAAGTGACATTCGTCTTCTATTCTATTCAATTGCAATTCTTGTTTGAAATTGAATAGAATAGAAGACGAATGTCACTTTGTTATAGAATGTAAATTATATAGTAAAGAGAGAAATTATCTGTATGGGCTTGTACAAAACCTATTTCCTTACTACATACACTTCATTCCTAATGCGACTTGACAAACCTTCCATCGAAAAACATATCTGTTCCTTTATCTCCACTTTAACTGAAAAGCGAGAAGTTGAATTTATGTAATGATAGCTGGTTTTATTTTGTATATCTTTTCATCATGTATATCTTTTCATCATGTCTTGTTTTGACCTGTACTTAGCCCAGTGTGGCAAAAATGTGCATAAAGGTCGTCATTATATAATTATAATTATTAATTAGTTATTTATCGTGGTTGTGATGTCTAGGTGTTTCCAGGCAACACCGTGCAGGACACCGTTGTAATCAACTTGCTGGACAGTCCCATTGATGCCCAGTATGTGCGTTTCCTGCCTCAATCCTGGCATGGCCATATGAGTATGAGGGTGGAGGTTCTAGGCTGCAGCGTTAACGATGACGACTCTAATGGCATCAGTCCCTCTGGTAAGCTTTTATCAGTAGATCTAAGTTTACTCCATCAACGTTTGGGGCCAGACATGCATGTAGATTTAGATAAGACCTTTTTTTACCTTTGTTGTGTATAAGTCGAGAAGTTGTGAACGGACCTTTACAGTTTTAAGTTGTTTTTTTTTTTATATTAGGTGTTAGTAGGTGTTACGTAGTAGGTGTTAGCAAATAAAAAGCTGGAGTGCTTCAGGAGCGGCGCAAGTTGGTAGCTGACACTTGCTTGTTGAACTCTGGTCTCTATTTCTCTGTCCAGCTTGCCATCTTTTGTAAAAATACTGCAAAGATAGTTGAATTCTTTCACCCTAAATAGTCTCCTGTTGTTAATCTTTATGTCAAGGTTTCCAGGTTTTCTGCTGATTTTCAGACTTTATGTTTTGTTAATGCTGATTTTCATGTCATAGTCCTAGGAAAGTTCAAATTTGTGGTGAGTTCTTGCAGTCTGTCTCTTCACTAAAAAGATGACAGTAAGAGGGAGATTATGGAAAAAAGAAACGTATGTAACGCTAGTAGATCAATGTGGCTCTATAATTGAGATGGCGACAGGGGGCAGCGTACACCTGGTTAGTTAAAACCGGTTTTACATCACCAGAGACAAAGGATCTGTCTGTATGTGGCCCAATTCACTCGTACATAGCTATAACACCAGGCAAAGAAATCAACTCCATATTCCACCTTTTCGCACTTCATTAGCATAGTCCTTAGTAAAATACAATGTGTCACAATATGAAAGTCTTCATGCAAGTATTCAATCAATACCTTCACTACTGTTGTTTAAGAGTACGCTGAAAACATATCTCATCAATCATCCTAGTATGCAGACCACCTACTCTCATTCTCTACCTGAATTACCTATTTCACCAAATCCGATTGTTCAATATTTCCTTCGTTAAGTTTATAATATCATTTAATTTTGTTGTAGGAAATGAGTTTACTTACTGTTATTTTTCATATGCTGTTTATTTACCCTTATTGTTGTTGTTATTATTATTATGCTTTTAATTGTAATGGAGGAGGGCAAGAATAAGACCAAAGGCTTTTTTTCCGCCTCCAGCACATCCATTCTGTTTAGGTTAATTATTTTATATTCTGTTTCGTTCGACTATTATATTTACTTTCTGTAGTGTTTTTGTTTTATATGTAACGTTATGTGCAAATACAAATAAACAAAAAAAGGTAGCCTGCAATTGTGTCTGTTTCTGAAGCTCTTGGGCTCGTGAAGAGGTGGTGTAGGTTTGGCCCCCTGTCAGCTTTTCTGTAACTGCAGGGACCGATTTTATTTTGCGTATGCACCTGTTTTGCCCTCCCTTTCACTTTGTGAAAAATCATAATAAACATAAATGAAGCGAATCAAGGCCCATTTGCACGATTAATGTGAAAATGCTAGATCAGCCTTCTTTGTTAAGATACGACTTTCATACTGTGTTAGTTGGATAAATCTGAGATCGATCTAACAAACACAAGAGAAACTAACACTTTATTGTTAGTAATTTTAATGTTAGTAATGTAATAGTATACGCACACCATTCATGACCTTACCCATAAGTGTGATGTCATTCCTACAGCTGTACTTCGCTTGAACTTCGCTGGGAAGTTTCTTGCTGACCCCTCAACTTACAACAACTACAACACAAGCTTTAACATCAGCACGTTCGATCCTCTGAAATATCCTGGCTGGAACCCAACAGGAACCCATGATTTCCGGTTGGTCAACTGTACGGTGACGCAAGTCTGCTTCGCGGATGGAACGCGCAGCACTTGGGACACAACTGTTGGCAAACCTATCATAGGTACTATTTCTACTCTCTTCATAGGCTTAGCGCTACTTCCTATAATCTAAGGTCACGCTGATTTACTTTATTTATGGATGACATCCACGCTCGCATCTGTTTTTACCTATTCTCAAAATGTAGACTCAAGCCTGGGTGCCATCCTCCATAGTTTATGGTAGCTCTATTTTGATTATAGTGATTTTGACCTCGGAACGGTAATCTGGACACGATTATGGATCACGATTATGATTTTGACATTTTGATTTTTATATTTCTGTTCAGCCATTTATATATGTTGTATCATTTGAACTTTTCAGTTATACTGATACTCAGTTATACTGATCTCAGTTACCTTTTCTCAGTTATGTATATGTTACTGGATAATATCATTGTATAATTTACTTTTATACAAATTGCTTTATACGTCGATGACAGTTAGACATCCAGGTAATACGATACCGCAAAAAGTAGTTACTCAAGCAACTGGATATGATTTTGAAAACGTCAGACGTTTCAGCTAGTATCCACTAGCTTTCGTCAGTGACTGAGAGACCAGAGGGGAAAGGCAGGTTTATAAGCACAAACTATTGATTGATGTACAAATAAGTGAAGACAAATTTTTGGAAGTCGAAAATGGAACAAAAGTCAGACAAGTCAAGACAAGGTAATGCAAATTAGTCAGAAAGCTCCTGTTATACAGAACAGGAGCTTAAGTGTTAAGTGGCAAGTTAAGAGGCAATATATGAAAGAATGTACAACCCCACCCTCAACAGGGAAGGGGGGCTACGGGTCGATCTTTCCGACACTTGGGATTTGGCACTCCCAGCCCCGAGGACAGACAACATTTAAGCTCCTGTTCTGTATAACAGGAGCTTTCAGACTAATTTGCATCATCTTGTCTTGACTTGTCTGACTTTTGTTCCATTTTCGACGTCCAAAAATTTGTCTTCGCCTTATTTGCATATCAATCAATAGGTTGTGCTTATAAACCTGCTTTCCCCTCTGGTCTCTCAGTCACTGACGAAAGCTAGTGGATACTAGCTGAAACGTCTGACGTTTTCAAAATCATATCCAGTTGCTTGAGTAACTACTTTTTGGCAAATTGCTTTATGTTTATGTGTCCCTGGGCCCTCCTGGAAATCAACAATTTACTGTTGAAGAGGCCACCCAGGTGTTTATAATATGAAATAAATAAATAAGCTAGCAACAGTAGGGAGCAGGCGGCAACTACAGAGGACAGCACCCAGGCTGCCGAAGCTCCATGGAAATCCAGATCTCAGTACAGTGCCAACTCATAAATGCAGCCAGCATGTGCCGGCTTGTCATAAAAGTACACGCTATTTTGTCAAAGAATAACTACAGACTAGACGTATTTGAAAGAAGTCTCATGCAGTTTCCGAGGGGGATCTCTATTGTCTTGCTTTTGGACTGAAAATTTGATTCGGCCTTCTTTTTTACTGTTACATCATAGATATTTATCTTGGAAGTTTCTATTTCTGTTTGCAAGATAAAATCATGGCAGTGTGATTGCTCTTGAAGATTTCGCCCCGTTTACCAGTTCAACAGTCATATGGTTACTCTTCCTGAGGGGATAGCGAGACTCAGTAGCAGATGCACGGGTTCTGGGTATCAGGGTTTGGAGGTGTGGCGGACAGTGGCCGTTGAGAAGCTTGTACAAGGTGGTGACTGTACATTGATATTGGTACGGCTGTACAGCTGTGGGTTGCCTCTTTCCCCTCAACATGTATATATTAGCCCTGATATTAGCTATATGGCTATTTTGATTATCTAGGCTCGGCAGGCAAGCTGGTGGATCTGGATCCAGACGACCAAGCACAATCTCAGATTTGGGGCCTCCAGGTCGGCGTGGATGGGTTCTTCAAAGGGGATTTCACACCACGGTCATTCAACCACATGCACGAGGCCTGTGAAGGACGGGAATGCTCTACAGTGTCTAAAATGACTCAGTTTTCTGCAGTTTTCTTTTCGACTTTACAGAACGTGGAGTGGATCAACGGGCCGCTTTCATATAATTCCGAGTTCTTAAAACAGGTCATGTCTCTCAGTCGTATGCCCGGATTTCAGTTGCACATCAAACTCAACGTCTATAACATGGTAGTGGAGTCAGAGTCTCCAGACTTTCCGTATGGTCGTGTAACTGGAACCATATATGCCAAAGTGTCGGAGAATCCTCGTCCTTACGGTCCGTACAACAGAATGCTGTGGGGCCCTCCGAACAAGGGCAGCGGGCACGTACCGTTCTATGTTGAAATCAAAGAAAGGAATAAAGTAGTGTTGGACTTTGCCAACTTCCTGAAGTTCGACTTCAAAGGTAACGTGGTCGGACAATCAGATGAAGCCCTGTATCTAACTCAATACAGCGGACCAACATCACGACTATGCGAACTTCTGGAGGATACATACAACCTGGGAGAAATCAGACTGGGTGGCAACGACTGGTTTCAGAGGACTGCAGGCATAGTTGAAGTTTCAGTAAATCACGAGGCAATTGAAACAATTGAGAACAACCACTTGGCGGTTATTCAACAAAAAACCCAAACGAATTGCGAGCTACTGGTGGAGGAAAGACAAGACGGCTTGTTTGTCCAGGCCATTGACAATCGTGTTGCGCGAAAAGAACCCGACCAGGAATGGCAGATGAAGTTTCGTGCTTTCCAGTTTGGCAAGTCTGCTAAAGAGGTTTCCATCAACCCCATTCAAATCAGTCCAGACCCTTTCTTCCAACGAGCAATAACTATTGTCAGCTCTAAACCATCCGGCGACAACGGCATTTCGTCGATAACGTTCCAGTCCACGGATCCGGGGGAGCCTAGAAAGGAACAGCAACTAGATGGCCAGGTGTACATGTACCTTATAAGGGCCAAGAAGGGAGACGACGGAACAGAATTCACGGTTGATGACTTAATGGTCTCAGTCCACCTTTATTCAGGGTACACCATCCCCAAGAACGTGACCTGGTACGAATATGTCTACCCGATATTCCAGCAGTATGCCAATCTCTATCCCGCCATGAAGCCAATAATTAACCTTGGGAGCTACGAGGATGTTGCTAGAAAAAAGAAATTACTCAAACACGCCCTAACACTTCCTGAAACGGACCCAAATCACATGCCAGTGACCAGGGACTTATCTCCAAAAAAACGACAAATGATTTTACAATGGTTAAATGATCTACACCCATCCTCAGATCTCCCACGAGTGGGTACCACTACCACCTCCTTAGATGAACTAAAAAAGACCCTGCAGATAGCTCTACAGCTGGAACTGTCTACCATTCCCCCATATCTGAGTGCGCTGTTCTCGATAAAAGATGGCGAAAACAAAGAGGTGGCGGCCCTGATCAAAAGTGTCGTTGTCGATGAGATGAAACACATGACTCTAGTTGCCAACCTTCTGAACGCGATTGGCGGTTCACCAAATTTGAACACCCCATCTATAGTACCGTCCTATCCAGCACCACTTCCGGGGGGCGCCAACCCTGGTCTTGTAGTGAAGCTTGCGAGATGCTCATTAAACCAGATTCGAACCGTCTTTCAGGGGATAGAGAGGCCGAACTGTGAAATGGAGGATTCTGATTTAGTTAAATATCTTCGCAGTCATAAAAGCGTTCTCGGCGCGTACAGGAATGTCGGTCCAGACGGAGCCAGGTGGCTAGTCGGATCGCACCATGTGGACACGGACGAAATTTTAAAACACTGTCATGAGATAACGACAAGGCCTCAGACCATCGGTGGCATCTACATCCATCAGATCCTCTGCCCTATGGTCGAACTGCAGAAACAGGCACTCAAAAAAAGGCAAACTCTGTTTACAGGAATCATAAACAGGCAAATAACGAGTGACCAATGGCTTGGGACCGATGACAGTTCCCCATTTGCAGTGAAGGATCTTGACAGTGCAGTATCTGCCATAGTGGACATCGTCTCTGAGGGCGAAGGGAGTGATCCTTGCGACCCGTTTGATGAGAACTACGAGCTTTCACACTACTTCAAGTTTGCTGAGATGGTGCACGGGTGGAGGCTGGGAGAAATAGGCCTAAATGACACATCATCTGTCCACCAATGCTTTCCGGAATTTTCCCCATGTGATGACAAGGTAAAATGTGAGAAGACATTCGGCTTCGTTGGCCAAATGGTGCCTTTCTTCGAAGACGGTGTCTGGCCGACCATTTCTAACCCGCGCACCGACAGCTACCCTCAAGGCTCGCAGGCTCGCAAATATTCTGACAACTTCAACATGGTGTACACAGGCCTGCTGAAGTGTCTTCACGAAGCTTTTAACGGAAACCCGGACAAGCTGAAGAACGACTGCATGGGCATGATGCATTCACTTACTGCCTGGGCTAACAAGCTGGTGCAGACACCCATGGACCCGAATGGAGATCCCGAGATTGGGCCAAACGCAGCACCAACCTTCGAGTTTCACTTTACTTAGAACTCCATGATAATACGTTCCTTTAAACAGCACCATGAAACCATCACCGTCCCATCAGCACCATGAAACCATCACCGTCCCATCAGCACCATGAAACCATCACCATCCCATCAGCACCATGAAACCAACACCGTCCCATCAGCACCATGAAACCATCACCGTCCCATCAGCACCATGAAATCATCACCGTCTCATCAGCACCATGAAACCATCACCCTCCCATCAGCACCATGAAACCATCACCGTCCCATCAGCACCATGAAACCATCACCGTCCCATCAGCACCATGCATGAAACCATCACCCTCCCATCAGCACCCTGAAACCATCACCGTCCCATCAGCACCATGAAACCATCACCGTCCCATCAGCACCATGAAACCATCACCGTCCCAACAGTACCATGAAACCATCACCATCCCATCAGCACCATGAAACCATCACCGTCCCATCAGCACCATGAAACCATCACCCATCAGCACCATGAAACCATCACCGTCCCATCAGCACCATGAAACCATCACCGTCCCATCAGCACCATGAAACCACCACCGGCCCATCAGCACCATGAAACCAACAATTTCAATACGTAATATAGCATACGTTATATGTAAGGCTTTGCATATCAGTTGGTGTTACGCAAGCAATGATTTTACATATGGGTTTAAAAACATTATAAGATCTGCATGTGGTAGAAGTAGTTTTACTAAAATGTGAGGAAAGCATAGGATTGTGGTGTGCTATTAATACGTCAGTTGTGATTTGAATAAGGTAGAATAAATGGCAGGGTAGGGAAACATTATAAGCCTTTTGAAATATCACATAATGATTGTAACCCAAACAAGGAATATCAGATTACTAAGCGGTTACATTGTTGAGACTAAAAGATAGTCCCGTTTTTTGCCCCCCCTTTTGGTATTAGGAGCAAATCAAACTGAAGGCTACAAGCAATTTTTTTTCAAAGCAAATCTGACATTTTCTTTGTGGACAGTATCAGTGGCAAAAATCGAACAGGGGACTACAGATACTGTTTAACCACTTATCGGTGAAAATTGGTCATCTAAACTTCAGTTTCCAGCTTCGGTAATGAAAACGAGTTAATCTTTGGAGCAAGTTGATACAAAGCTAGACATTTTGTGGACCCAGCTTTAAAAAAGCTCCTACAAAATCAATACAATTTTTGTAATTTAGAAGAAATTTTGTAGTCTTAAAGGCATCCAATGCAATTGAATAAGGCAATTTGTATGATATTGACACATACTGCCACAAGTTAGCACATTGAATGTCGATATTCACTGGGATAGAGTTGTTTCAACTTAGTATGTGGATAAGTGATTAGAACATTGACTTTGAAAAGTTTGGTTTCCAACCCTAAAAACTGCACTGGATGCCTTTAAAAGTTTCAAGTCATGTAACTGCATCTTACTCGGCATTCCTGAATGTAACGTTATATACAAGTGTATCATCAGCTTTATCTTAATCCAGATCATAGGTACATGTATCGATGTGTCATTATGATAGCTTTATCATAAAGCTGCATCATGTAACATTAGGAGACTGTAAAAAAAGGTAAATCTTCTGGTCATTTCTTGACAAGGTAAGTTGAAGTAACCGTACTACATTAAGTGCCATTCAGGAAGTGGAGGTGCCAAAATATGACACCTTATGAGTGTGTTTAAAAGCTGGAGACAAAGCTGTCAACCATAATTGTCTGAAAAAGTAATAGTAGATCTGAAAAAAAATTTAAAGTGGAGGCAAATTATATAGTCACATGAAAGATTTTTTCAATGAAAATGTTTCAATTTTTGGAGCAAAAATGTTACATGATAATGCCCCTTTAATCCAGAACATAGGTACATGTACCAATGTCTCATTATACTGATCTTAATCCAGAACATGATAAGGTATATATAATTATCAATTATCTGTTGGTGGATACTAGTTTGAATGACTGATTTAAGGTCTAAGACCAAGGAAAATTAATGTTGTGTTTCCGAGTACAGTCCTGAAAAACATTTTTTTTCTTAAAGATTTCCAACAAAGTGATCCAACAAATTCATTTAAACGATATTTGAAGACTGAAATGTATCAGAACAGTATCAGTCTGGTAGTGTCAACATCACATTTCAATCAAATTCGGACATACATTGTACAAATGTACAAGTATTCTAATGCGTTGAATAAGAAAGTAAAAAAAAGTAGTGTTTTTAAAATACTAAGAGTTCATATGATCATGACCTAATTTCAATTGCAGCAGAAATGAGAACATGCTGGGAATTGATTCAATTTTTGCTAAGACCGAGGTTCTAACCGGGAACAACATTTTTTTTCTGGAAAAAAAGCCTGACAGAAAATTAGCAACTTAGAACTATTCTGTACTCTTATACTAGAGAATTTGCAGTGAGTTTTTTTTTTTTGGTTAATGCTGTAACCTAGTATATTCTTGTTAGGCCACACCAAATTGAACACATCAGAAGAAAGTATGGAGCAAGAAACAAATGGCAGAAAATCAACCTCATCGCATTGTATGAATCTTCTGAATGATTAAACTGATTCATTCATGGAAAAGCACAAACACGGACAGATATAAAACATGGACTGAAAAAAGGAATAACATCACTACTGTTTTACAATCATGTTTTTCACTTTTTTTTTCAATTTTAAATGAAATTGTAAACAATAAAAACAACAGCAACTTCCTTTTCTAAACCGAAATTGGAATTCTTACATTCTACCATTTTTGGTGTGGCCTTAGCATAAGAAAATAATGGATACTATTTGACTGAGTGTGTAGAAAGGAGACAACTTTGGATTTTTGTAGAATTTGAAAACAAAATCATTAATACCAATACTTTGTATCTGCTTGGTGGCTGCTTGTGGCTAATAAAATATGGTAAAATCCAATGTTTTTTCTCATTCTTCATGTGTCAGTCTGTGCACACACACTAGCTCCCACTTAAGTTGTAAAAAGGGTGAGGGACTTTCCAAATAGCCTGGTTACCAAATTATTACAGCTCCCGAGTCCTACATCCTCCCTAGAGAGTTTTTAGAGTACCTGTGGTACTGGTACTTATCGAAATATTAACAAATATTTCCCTGTTTCAAAGTAACAGCTTTTGGATATAAGTAGCATTGCCCATGCTGTCTGCCTCTGTATATTTTGACCTTCTAAACCTCCTCAGTGTTAGCCGATTAAACTTGAACACCCGCACACAGGACCGCCACTGCACGGCCGAAGCGACTGTTGCAGGGCTAATCTCTCTTGCTTGCAGTCTTTTACATTAGCCCTATAACATTCGCGGAACGGTGCATTGGGCTAAATGAACAAACATGCTTTTACCGTGCCGGGCAACACTTTGAGACCGAAGTTTGCACGTCCCTGGATTCCTAACAGCCTTACCCAACGTGCCTGGGTGTTTTGCGCGCCAACCGGCCCCTGCGCGACTCGTACCGCCACTATTTGCGATCGCTCCCCATGTAAAACACATAACACCAGCATGGCAACAGACATCTTTGCCCATTTTCGGCATGTTGACCACTGTCAGAAGGCAACAAAATTTCTTGGTTTTTTTTCCAAAATCAGACGAAAATTAATGCGCGCGCGGATGTCATCCATAAAATTTACTTGCTGTGGCCTTAGAAAGAATCCAGAATTTCTGCTACAGTACGAGGAAAGCCACCAGGGGTCCAAAATCAGTTACATTTTTGTAGGCCCAGGCAAATTTATGTTGTGTTTCTTAAGCGCTTAAAAGATTAGAATCGCTAGATAGGATTCACTCCTTTTTTATTTGTCTTGGGGCTACATGTATATGCATGTACCTGTAATAGGGTGCTCTAGCCTGTAGTATATTGATAAGAATAAGTATCTTAGGTTATATACGTTTCTTGTACCGTAGGCTGGAAAAACACTTTCTTGTTCTTGTACTGAATCACTTTCCCCTGTTCTGAGAAATGTAAGAGATCTTTGAGGGACCTCCTGACGGTAGGGGACCAGGGTCTCAGGGGCTGGACATTGCCTTATTTGGTAATGGTCAGGGCTTTTCCACTAATGCCTAATGAAGTGATTTAGAATGGCTGATACAGGAAGTATGATGCCCTTGTTCCAAGAAATATGTGTGTAGGTGGATAGAGGATATAAAACCCATGTACTCGAGTAGTCAAAAGAGAGAGTTAGAATCGGAGAGGAGAGAATACAGTCACGTCACTATGTAGCTCTGGCTCCTGTGTCATTGTTCCGGGTACGTACATCTACAACATCGGCAGCTATCTTACAAACTTGTAAGGGTCACCCATCGGAACCGAGGTCACTCAAGCTACCAGGTATTTGGCGTTGACCTTGACCGCACCCTTACATACCGAAGACACGTATAGGAGAAATCAGCCGTTCTTCCCCGGCGATATAATGACATACATGTACTTACTTACTTTACTATAATATATGGTGAAGTTCCCGCTTGAACACTTTCCACTTCACTCTATCAGAAACTGGACTTAACTTTTGATTCTTTGACCTATCCTGGGTTCCCAAAATACAGATAATTTCTTCTCTCTGTGTGATGTTTAAAATAAACCCACTGTAAATGCCAACTTCCAATTTCGTATTTGCCGCCCTTAGTTTAGCAAGTTAAGAAGGTACGTGCAAGTTCCCGCCAAAACTGGGTCATGTGATTGGTGCAAGTTCCCGCCAAAACTGGGTCATGTGATTGGTAGTACTTAAGGGACCCAACTCACCCGGCTCTCAGTGAAAACTAAGGCTTCTTGCTAAAGAAGTAAGAAGAATCACTCAGACTGATCCAGAGAGGAAAACCCGTCCAGAAATAGGCTCCAGATGGAGAAATGCAGGACTATACAGAAGGACTGTAAGTCAAATAGGCTTCTCTAGCTAGAAGAGAAGAACAGGTTTCCAGAGTGGAAGAACAGGCTTCCAAAGTGGAAGAAACCAGGCTTCCAAGGCGGAAGAAATCAGGATTCTCAAGAGGAGAAGTTGAAGAAGTTTTAGGCCAGAAGAGGTTAGGAGGATCAACCAGTTTTTACGGCACTACTTATTGGATTTACTTGGCTGTACATC